AGTTCCTGAGCTCCACGGGGTTGGGTCAGATGTGGAGATGAATTTCACGTGTGTGATGACTAATGGGACTTTAACTTTAATTGTTGCAGATGGAGCTGAATTGAACTATACACTGCAAAAACTAATTTCTAAAAAACTTTTTAAAAAGTTTGGTTTTTAAATAAAGAAAAACAATTTTCTTCAGGAAAATAGCATCATTTAAAATAAGGTAATTATTCTTCAGTATGATCCAGATTTTCTTGTTTTGAGGAAAAAATTCTGCCAGTGTGGTAAACAAAAGTTGCTCGGCTAGAAATCTTAAAACTAGCAAATTAATCAAAGTTTAGTTTTTTTTTTTGTTAGTTTAAAGAATTCTAGCCAAGCGAATTTGTGAAGTTTGAATCATTTAAGAATATTTACCTTATTTTAAGTAATTTTCTTTTTATATATAATAATTATTTTACCTTTTAAACTAAAAATAAGATAAAATGTCTAAAAATTTGACTTTTTTTTAAACCGAGGGGCAGAAACTACATTTATTTTCTTCACTTTTTTTTGTTTTTGTTTTTCATTTTGCTTCAATCTGAAAAAACTCAAAAATTGATATTTTATGTATCAAGTTAGTACAGATTTTTTTTTTCTCCACATGTAGGTGATGGTTACAGCAGTTCAGACTCATTTACCTCAGACCAGGAACCAATCGCCAGGCAAAGGTCAGTATTTTCAAAAGAAAATTGTTCTTTTACACCTTTTTTCTGCTTCCTTCACATCATTGGGTTCTGTGGTTGACTTTGGTGTTTTATCTCTAAACTCAGGTCTCAGTCAGGTGCGTCTCCAGAAGCTCTAAAGGTGGTGGCTCCACCTCCTCCTCCTCCTCGCCCCCAACCATCCCACTCTCGCTCTTCGTCGTTGGATATGAATCGCACCTTCACCGCCTCTTCCGGCCCGGGTCAACCGCAGTCCTCTACCACAGCTTTTCCTCCTGCAGTACCCCCTCGGCCGCTACCCACGCAGGTATGAAAACCAAATACGTTAGGCCTCTTTTTTTTTTAACCAAATTAAAAGCTTCTCGCCTCTCCTGTTTTCGTGTAGACATCGGTACCGCTCACAGGTCATCGGGTTGAGGCCGAGGCTGTTCCTGCAGGCGGGGCTGCACTCACCACCACATCCCCCCAGCAGATACCTCAGCAGCCCAACTTCGCAGACTTCAGCCAGTTCCAGGCCTTAGCCGCCTCCGAACAGCCTTCCAGCCTGCCGGAAGTCGACAAACACAGCGAGGCGGGACAGGTGGGCAGTTACCCGTTGTTGTTTTGGATAAATCATTTTGGGACTAGAGCAGGGATTCCCTAAGTGTGGTGCGCGCACCCCTGGGGGCGCGAGAGCTGCCGCTAGGGGGTGCGCCAGGTGAAAAGTGTAATGGCTGCGGAGCTCAGAGAAGTCTGTCATGTCACCATTAGCGTAGAAACTCATTTGTGGGTGGGCCTAAGAAAAAGTAAGTGGACCCAATAAATGTGATTGAAAACAAATATATTTTGTGTGTGTGTGTGTGTGTGTGTGTGTGTGTGTGTGTGTGTGTGTGTGTGTGTGTGTGTGTGTGTGAGCATTTTAGCATTATTATATTAGCACACTGACTGTGGGACAGCATTCTAAACGTGTCAGGCTATTAACAGCGTGCTGAAGATCTGAAGTTCAGAGTGCGTCTGTCAGAGGTCAGACGCATTTCAGCGGAACCACGGCACTTGTGAGCACATCTGGGCTGGGCAGAAGTAATTTTACAACACTGGTTTAAATAGCGCCAATAACGAGACGCGGTGACTGGAGCGGCTCATGGAGCTGTGCCGCACACACACACACACACACACACACACATACAGATTCAATAAGCGCACGCTACGCAAACTCCGGCGCTGCGCCGCGACGCGCCGTCAGACTGAAGGCAGAAATGAGAGCTGCTTCCTCCGTGATAAAAACTTTTAAGAGGTTTTATAACAACATTTTTCATTCAAGGTCAAATTAAGATATTAGCTTCTATTTTCGGATGACGTATTAAAGTCGAGTCCGCTCCAGCCAGTGACTCCTCATGAACCTGACCACAACTCATGTTACTGCAGCATTTGTTATTCCAGTCCGCGTGGCAGCGGATCGCAGATTCAGCCACACCATAAAACAGCAATAAGTCGGTCTTGAGGCAAAAGTGAACCTCATGGCTATAGCTTTTCCATCTTTTCCCCTGTAGACATTTGATTACACACAAGTAGGCGACCAGCTCAGGTTTACGCAGAGCAGAAGGAAGGAGAGAGCTCTGGCCACAGGTTAAACGTTCCTACTTTAAGAAAACCGTTAAATTGGATTGTTTATGTGCTACCTGGGCACTCTAAATATTTATTTAAAATTAAATCAAAGGAAATTGTAATGGCATTGAATGTTTATTAATTACTACTTAAAAAATGAAAGTGGTGGGTGTCTGATATATATATATATATATATATATATATATATATATATATATATATATATATATATATATATATATATATATATATATATATATATATGTAAATATATACATAGCTAGCCATGCCCTGATGTGGGGGCTGGGGGGTACGTCGACATGGTCGGGACATAGAAGGGGGTGCACGGCTAAATAAGTTTGGGACCCGCTGGACTAGAGTATTTAATGCTTAAGTTTCAGTTTTACCTCATTAGAGCTTTACAGACAGTTGGGTTCGGGCCCAGAGGAGGCAGGAAGTGACGAGATCACACATCACATTTGCAGCATCCATGACTTTGTGCTTTCTTCTGGTCATGTGGGCTGTGGGCCACTTTTTGTTGTCCTTCATTTTGACAAATCCCATCAGAATTCATTTTCTTTTAATGTCATTGAATTATTTTCCCCGCCTCACCTGAATTGTAAAATGTCAACGTGACGGATGGCCTTCGGGTTTTTCCGGGACAGTTTTTAAAAAACAATTAAAGATGGAAATTTTTCATTTAACGCCACCCCCGGATGACACGCTTCTGTTCTGATGTGAACATTCATGCCTCTTGTGTTTGTTGTGTCATCAGGTGGAGAAGATCTCAGAGGGTGCCGGCCCTTTAAGAACGGTGAAGAGCGACGGCCCGGCAGACGAGAGAACCTCGACGACTGTAAACTCTGTATGTTGTTGCATAAGTTTAAAAATGACAACAGGTCAGACATCCAGAGATGTTCGTATGTAATTCCACATTTTCCCATCAGGCCATGTGCTCATCGGGCCCGCTGGCTCCTCCGCCCAAACCCGTGCGTCGGAGGTTGAAGTCTGAAGACGAGCTTCGACCTGAAGACGAGCAGCACGGTGCTCAGAAATCTGGCATCATAGCCGCCCCCCAGACTGCTCAGCCCTCCATCCCCAGGTAGGAAACAGGCTGAACTCCTGAAATTATTTAGTTGAGTAAAAAAAAAACTAAAGTGTTTGTGTTTTCAGATCTGTTGGAAAGGACAAAAAGGCGATTCAAGCTTCGATCAGAAGAAACAAGGAGACGAACACGGTGTTGGCTCGGCTCAACAGCGAACTACAGCAGCAGCTGAAGGTCTGGAGGTTTTAGAAGAGAACCGTGTTTGGTTAGCTTGGCAAGCCAGACTAAATAAATGTATTATTTAGACTAAATAAATACCGTATTGGCCTGTATTTCATTACCGGCCGGGTCTCCTACATTAGCCAGTCTCGCTGTCAGCGGGGTAAATGAAGGCCGGTCTCCAATAGTGGCCGGCTGTACAGCACAAGCGCAGCTACAGTTTTGATAACTTCAAAGGACTATTGATCTTAAAATATTTTAATAAATGGTGTACTTAGCCACTGTTAATGAATTTAGAGTCGCACAAAACACGACGGCAAGTCTGATCACGTATAAACAGTAGAGTCACTTCCTGCATCCTGTCCCGCATGCTGTGTGACTACTTGACTCCTCAAAATCGCGGGTGCGGCGTGTCCTCCTCCAGTGTGCCCCAGGCTTTATTTTCTTTGTTGACTGGGTGTAAAAATGCCCAAATTCTGTGCGGTCGGGATAAAAACGAGCATTATTTTTTTTCGTGTTCTGAAAGTAGTGCGCCACAAAGGACTTACCGAAACTTACTGAACAAAGACGGAAAATACATCCTTTTTACTAAGTAACGGACTTAAAGTATCTTTCCAGAGTCTTTCTCTTATCCGATGGCACCATAGTCACCATAGTCAGTTGATGGCGACTTCAAGTTTCTTGTTTCTGAATGTGCTTCTGTAGCCGACAAACAGAGCTACAACACGCTGTTTTACAAGTATTATTCTCATGTCATGTTGTGTTTTCATATATTTATGTTTTAGAGACTTACGTCGTCTTGAACACTGTTGCTAACCACTTAAACATTCTCCCTCTCCTGATAATAACATTAACTTTCCTTGACATTGAATGTGCTACTACTAGTTTACCCGTTTAATTATATTTCCTAGCATGAATACAATAAAGTTTATCTCTTACTAAATAGACTATTTACTAAGAAATCACAATGTAACCATAGAAACACTACTTGGTATATATGGGGGGGGGGGGGGGGGGGGTGCACGCGTGTGCGCTCTCTGTCTTCTCCATCCCCAGTGAGTCGTGGAGGATGGCTGCTTATACTGAGCCAGGATCCTCTGGAGGTTTCTTCCTGTTAAAAGGGAGTTTTCCTGTCCACTGTCGCTGCATGCTTGCTTAGTATGAGGATTGCTGTAAAGACTATGACACTAGTCAGTGACTCGATGCAATTTGCTGGGTTCCTTTTATAGGAAACTTTTTACTGATTGGCTTAATGAACTGACCTGTATTGGAGTGTTTACTGCGTGAAGTGCCTTGAGACGACTCTTGTCGTGATTTGGTGCTTTATAAATGAACTTGAATTGAATTGAATTGAATTGTCCATTAAAAGTTCATCAACTCTGCATCAGCCGAGGTATTCCTTAAATTTGAAGCACGTAAGCGGTAGTTTAACACTATTGGTTAGTTCTGGTCGGCGCTCAGTTTCCTGTTGCACGGAGCTCTGCATCTATCTTCTCCTGATTCTAACAAAGCCCAAGTCCAAATTGTCCAAAATTGATTTAAAAGCTGTTTCAAACGAGCTGTAGCTATATTGTTTCACTCCGTCGCATCGTCCCGCCCACCAGACTAATAGAGGGTCCTGATTGGCCCACAAAGCTGATGAAGCGCTGTGATTGGCCCACCAGAATGCTTCTAGGAACTGCAGGGGTTCCAATGGAGCATTCCTAGACCAAACTCTTGGTCCAGTTCACTAGGCTAGTGTTAGGTTTCACATCCTTCTGCTCACATCGGTTTGTGTTTTCCAGGATCTGCTAGAGGAGAGGATATCTCTGGAAGTCCAGCTGGAGCAGCTCAGACCCTTTTCTCACCTTTAACCAACGTGGGAGATGTAAACTCTGCTGTAATTCCTCCGAGGCGATGCCGTCGCCCCTCCTTTCCTCCGCTTCTCCTCTCCCATCACCCTGAAGTTCTCCGGCGGCTCTTTTCTGTTAAACTCAACCACACCGCGACCAGCTAGAACCCGGGCGGACCCGAGAGCACAGTCCAGCCAACAAGAGGAGGAGGAGGAGTTACCAACTGGCACTTTTCACTTTTTGTTTTCTTTTTTAAAAGGAGAGGTGGAATAACGGCCACCTGGGAGGGAGCTTTAGGTCCGTAGTGAAGACAGAACAGCTGCTTCTGCAGAACTGAACTCTGAGAGACTGAAGTAGCGGTGGAATTGTCGTGCAAGTGTGTTTGCTTGTGTGCTCGTGTTCCTGGTTAGTGAATTGAATGCAAGCTAGCACCAGTATGTTTAGCTCTGCTGCACCAAACGTCTAGAAAAATCCACTTTATTTACATTTGAATGGCTTCTTTTTTTGTTAAGCTTAGCTTAGCATAAAGTCACAGAGGGAAACAGAATTCTGCTGCAGAGACTTCCAACCTGCTCAAAATAATAAATTCATGGCCAATTTGAGAAATCTTCCTTAATGTCTTCCAGCTTTGTGACATTAAATTTCTTCAATTAAAAACATCCCAAACTAGACAAAAAATGATCTTTACGGGCTTTTTTCTCCTTTAATGTTCAGATTTTAACCAGTTTTGTGCTAGTTTTGATCTGAGAACCATGATTTGTTTAGTGGGAGTTGTTGAGTGAAACATACTGGGCTAGGTACAGACAGGAACTGTGTGTGTGTGTGTATGTGTGTGTGTATCATCACGGTGAAGGCTTTTTTATTTTTACTCATCTTGTGACGTGTTCATCTTTCTCAGATTGTCCTCTCAAGTCAGTGTGTGTGTGTGTGTGTGTTCCTGTTTAGGGATCGATGTGACTGAATGGTTTTAACTCTATGCCAAAATGACTGAAGTGTCACTTTTCTCTGACGTCGACTCGAGCTGCGTTCAAAGACGACAAGCAGCCAGTTATTCCCGTTGGTTAGTTTGTTTTCTACGACAGCATTTCAGCTCTCCATTTCCTCCGCTAGCTGCAGCTGTCCTCGGTCTTGAACTTCCTGCCTTTGGGAAATCACTTCTGGCGGAAACAGACTTGGAAGGCGGCGTGAATGAAGAATCGTGTTTCTGATCGGGGGGTTCCCTGCAACCTTGTGGATCAGGATGAGTTTTAAGCTGTTTTCCGATCAGGAACGACGGCGCTATGCAAGCGTGTGCGACACATCGCCACAGACCGGCTCCACTTCAGCTGTGTGAGCAGTTTCCTCCGGTTTTGTATCGTAGATCTTCCAGAAAACCATCTGCTGTACGTTTGTGATCGTTTTTGTTTTAATCACCTGGAATCCGCTAAATGTGACCCAGTCAAGGAAAGGGAACACCTGAATGACCCCACTGCACTTTGAACTCAACCACCACCACCACCGCCTGTTACACATCATCTCATTTACGTTTGTCCTTCCTTCCCCGCCTGCATGTTTGTTCTCGTCTCTCACTCGTATTTAAAAGATGCTTTAAGAAGAAAACATCTGGACTTTAGTTTCTGGATTCATTTTCTAAATCGATGTTTTGTCGGTCGTTTTCTAAAGTCTTACTCCCCCAACATGCGTTCAGGTTTCCATGGCGACAGACTGACCTTGTAACGAGGCTGGCCTGTCTTGTTTTATGTCTCTGCTGTTGTGTGTTCCGTGTGCGTACGATCTCGTCTCCAGAACCTGGAACTGATGCCATTTAAAACCTGATTAAAACCTCCGTGGATTGTTTTGACGTTTGCTCGCACAACAGCCCCCCGCCCCCGAAACCCAAAAGGCAATCCAGGCAGGCAGAAGCAATCCATCTGGAAAGAAGTCTTTGATGGCAATTGAATGCTATGTGTGTGTGTGTGTGTGTGTGTGTGTGTGTTGCACACTTTTGGATTCGTGTAAATTTACATCCCTTGCTGACTAACAGTGAAAGAATATTCTATTTAATTCCTCTTCTCTTGGCTGTGGGATCCTAGATGTTTAACTGCATGGATGTACTGTATCTCTGCAGACTTAACTAGCAGCTGTGTGATTTTTACACAAAAATAAAAAAGGCACAATATTTTATACCCACACCTCTCCGTGCTCTTTTGTTTTTGTGTTGTGTCCAAGCAAGGATTATTAGAAAGAAGCCAAAATCCAAATGGTTTGTAGCTGGTTTAATTTATTCTATTTATTGCTGTTTTTATTTTCCAAAGCAGCTAAAAAGAATTTAAATTTGTCAAATTACAAATTCCAGTAACACAATTGTCAACAATAACGGCAAAGTCACTACGACATATCAAAGAAAGCTCAATGAACATGTGTAAAATATTTCATTCTAATGAATCATAAACCAGATATCGATCAGCAGGATGCAATTAATTTCCTTAAAACACATTTAAAAAGCACATTTTTTGCAAAGGAGACTCGGCTCAGACCTTATTAGGCCTTCCTGTAAGGAGTTTCTACAGCGGAACTAACTTGTTATGACCCTTTAGTTGTGTTTGTTGCAAAAGTAGGACTGGAGGTTCGGAGGCGGACTCAGTTGTGTTTAGATGAATTTGGAGCGTTTTGTGAACAGTTCAAGTGCAAATCCAGATGAATTCTATTTGACCAAACTAGAAGAGAAAGACAAAGAAACCAGAAGTCACTGATGCAGATTTTGGTGGACATCACTGTATTAACAGAAAACCTGCATCTGGCTGGAAAACATTTTTTATTTTCATACTCACACGCTGGTTTCCTTGTAACGGTCGAGAGCCTCCTGAGCCACAACCTCTGAGAACTTCGGGTCGGTCCAGGGGATGTCGCCTGAGATGGTGAAGTTCATGGATGGAGAGTCGAAGAGCTGCACCGACACTCTGGTGTCTGCAGGCTCCTTCTCACCTGATTGCACCTCAGGGCCCGTAGCCACCACCTGCAGCGGGAAAAACAGCTGAAAAGTTATGTTTAAAGTTTTATTCTATACATTTGCAGAGATCTCTGGTAAATGTGTTGTGAGTCAGTCTCTCGCTCCCATCCCAGGAAGTAAAAGTTGGCCAGTATAGCAGACGGCAGGTTTTGGAGTCTTATTTCCCGATTTTCAGACCTCTCGCCCCTGATTGGCTAACAGAAACACAACTCTACCACTGCATGTACTGGAGTTGCTAATGCTAACTGTGAGCTTCTGCTAGCAGAGATGTGCTCCGCTCTCTTCTGGACACTAAAACAACAGCAGCCTTCCTCGGTTGCGAGCCAAGATGGGTGAGTCCATGAATGTTAATTTGTAATGTGACGTTGGCTTTTCTAATCCGAACGTTTCCCCGGTTAATGCAGGAAATGGGGTTTCAAGGCTTTTTTCACGTTCAGTCAGCATGTGAAACTCTGAGTGAACGATCATATCTCAAAATGAAGTAAAATACTGTTTCTCTGTGAACTTGTTTCAAATAAATAAATACACTAAAGAGTTTTTCACACTTGAAGCTGTTGAATTCAAACTGGTTTCAGTGGTTCTTGGGCCATGAACTTGACCAGAAACTTTACTTAACAGTTTTGTGGTTCTGGTAGGAAAACTTGGGAGGTCTCTACTTGCTGTTTACTGTGCAGCTAGCCCTTAAAGGCTAGCAGTTACCTTTTTCAGTTTGCAGACCTTTAATAAAACACTGAAGAATAATTTTGCTTTTTTTTTGTATCATGGCGGAGCCTCGGAGTAAAAGACCTGATTGCACCTCAGTCACTGAAGTGATTCATTCATACTAGGTATCACCACTAGAGGGCATCCTTCGCCCTTTTTTATGATTTTACCCTCACTGTGAATAAGCTTGTTACTGTTGCTACTAGATGACTACAGGTGTTGCAGAGTAGACCTATTATTTTCAACTTCCTTTCTGGCCCGGCCTGCCAGACTCGTCCTCTGATAAATCTGCACAGAGTAGTGATGTGACATTCATGAACTAATCAAATCTTTTGAACGGGTTTTCAAAGTGAATGACGAGAAACGAGTCCCTGTAGAGAGCTGTTCATCTTGTCGTCCGGTAGCAAACCTCCCTGGAAGTTGGCAAAGCGCACCCGCTCAAACCCCACCCACCGCTGTGACGGACGTAGGAGGAACGCTAACCAACCCTGTGTGCCCTCATGGACACCGCAGGAACACGTTGCTCTTAATATCCCCCCCGCTTTTAGCGCTTCCACTTGTTGTGGTTTTAAAGACATTCAAGTCATGGTGTCATGGAGAAAAGCGCTGCAGCGAACTCCGCCTCTGTCTTAGTTGTTTATGAGAAACTGAGCGTCGTTGTGTGTGACAGCGCAAACATCTTTCATTAGAAGAAAGGCTTTTAGCGCTTCTACTTGTTGATTTAAAGACGTGTCCAAGTAATTTAGAACAGAGGAAAGAGCTGCAGCGAACCCTGCGTCAGTCGCCATGTTTGACAAACTCGGCTTTATGGTGTGTGACTACGCTACTCAGTGCTGATTGGCTCGGTTAGAATTCTCAGGGGGCGGGGTTATTTGAATAGGAGAGCTCCCAGACCCTTCTCTGTGCAGAACTAAACAGAGGACGAGTCTGGCAGGCCAGGCTACTTCTTTTCATGTATGAAGGGAAAATACGTTACTTCCCACAAGACTGTCTTTGCAAGGTTACTGTGAGTTTTCAAACAATGAGCGAAAATGTGTAATCTACCTTTCAGAACTGTGTCTACCAGAGGTGTGGACTCGAGTCACAAGACTTGGACTCGAGTCAGACTCGAGTCATTATTTTTAATGATTTCTGACTTGACTTGATAAAATCTATAAAGACTTACGACTTGACTCTGACTTGAACACCAATGACTTGCGACATGAATCGACTTGCATCTGTTGACTTGATCAGATTTGATATTTTAGAACAAAAGTGGCACGACATGGACAAAAATCATAAACCATTCTTCGTTCTGGGTTTGATTTACTGCTAAATGAAGCAGCACTTTGTTTAAAATCATTTTCACTTGCATTTTCTACTTGTTTGAGCAAATAAAATAAGCTTTATTTCCGGGATTTATTTATTATCATTGTCATTAAATTGAAGTTGGACAGATGACTTGATTATGACTTGAAAATTCAAAGTTAAGGACTTGGACTTGACTTGGACTTCCACATCATTGACTTTGGACTCGACTTGGACTTCTCTCGAGACTTGACTGGAAAGACTTGTGACTTGCAAAGCAGTGACTTGGCCACACCTCTGGTGTCTACCACTAGGGGCAAGTGGGAGTTAAAATGGATGCCTCATACCGCTATATGTGACGTAGGTTTCGACTAAAGCTTGGAAAATGAATTCTTGCCCATTTGTGCTGCTTTCTTTCTGTCGACCATAACAAGTAGTATGTTTGCTGACTCGAGCGTGGAAGCCAATTACCCTCAGCTAGCACCCGAGCCACGCACCATTACAGGGCGAAGCAAAGAGCTAAAATCAGAGTGAACATCAGCGTGGACTTCACTTGTTTGAGGGAGCTAAAGGAGGCTCAATCGCTGACTGATGGTGACCTGGCTTTGTTGCTACTGGACTTTTATGTAATATTATTTTGGCCAACAGTGTGGATCTTTTTTCTTCGTGGCTTACTAACATATCAGTTTCTTTATGTTAGCATTAGCTCATTGTTAGCGCTAGCTACAGCAGGCTGTGGCAGAGTTGTGTACGACAGTTGTAATTTCGTCTTCAATCAGTAGGAGGGAGAAGTGGGAAACTTATTTAGTGGTGCTTTAAGTTGACTAAAATGTCATACCACCTTAACATGGAAGATGCCGTCCTGGGTGTTGTTAGCCAGAGACGACACCCAGCCGAACTGCTTGTTGAGAAGGTCCAGGATGGAGGAGGTGTTGAACATCTGCTCCTCGAACCTTTTCAGGAGGACGTTGTACTGCTGCGTGAACCGCTCGGCCATGGCTAGGGCCTCCTCCAGCTCCTCCTTCAGAGGACCCTCCAGAGGTTTCTTCCCAGAGCAGTCTGTTGGGGACAAATGTCAAAAATGATCCGACAAAAATCACAAAAGCTGCACAGAGAAGCCGTTCTCACAACAGACACCTTGATGGAAGCACAGGTGTGTTAACGAGGGCTGCATTCCACTCTGGCAGCAGCAGGTTCCTGCTAACGAGCTGAACTTCTAAATGGAATGCAGCACAGGTTAACACGCAGGCAAGTCAAAATATTAGACTTGAAGTAGGTCAGATTTTAGAAAACACTCTTATAAACAATGATGGTACAAAAACCAAAACAAAAAAACTGTTTTTCTTCATTCAAAGACAAATGTTACAATTTTAATAATTGGTATGTGAAAACAGGTCAATAGAACAGGAAGTTGATTTATTATCAATAATACATCAACACTCTCACCAAGATGCTGGATTTCTTTGCATTTCTCACACTCATCACGGAACTTGATGCAGCCGGCAGAGTTGCGACGAATCTCCCTGCAGGTCATTTTACCGCTCCCAAAGGGCCTCGTAATGATCACGTCCTCGTTCACGCTGCCGTCTGCAGGTAGCGCGCACACGCACGCACACACACAGAGTCTATTCAGTCATTAAAGAGCAAGTCACCCCCTACCAGAGTATTACTCCACTCCTACTTCCTGTTTGAAAAATGCAACAAATGCTGTTGCCTAGCAGACTGAGAGGGCGGAGCTCTAACAAATACACACTCACACAGGCTCACAATGACATTGTGACATCATATGGTACCAGCTAACGTTCTAGGGTACCTCTTAGCCAATAGCGATGGCAGATTTAAATTCAAACGCAGTGCAGAGTTTTTACCTGACAACAGCACAACACTGACAGTTTTAGGCAGAAAATTAAAATTTTAAGTAAAATGCACTAAAGTGCAAAACTATTGACTACACGTGTCTGCAGCACGATTAGACACACATTTATATAGTTTATCAGAAAAAAAAGTTGATTTGGGGGTGACTTGCTCTTTAAAGGTTACAGGTCAGGAGTTTACTTTTAAAATTTGACTGTTAATTTGACAATTAAAATATACTTTCAAAATAAAAGCAAGCAAGCAAATGGACAGGACATTTTAAAAGTCAAAAGAAAACTTTATTTACTAAAACATTTATTTGTCAGGTAAAAATGGTCAAATATATCTCAGGCCCTGTCCACACGTAGCCGGGGATCTGCCAAAACGTAGATATTGTCCTACGTTTTGGCCTGTCATCCACACGAAAACGGAGTTTTTTCACACGAAAACGGATCTTTTTAAAAACTCCGGCCAAAGTGAAGATCTGCGTTTTCTCCGTTTTGGGTGTCTGCGTGTGGACAGGCAAAACCGGAGTTTTAAGGTCCGCAACGTCACTTTCCGCGACAAAAAAATGCTGACAATCACGTGTGCGACCTGTGTTTACACTGGCCGTCATCATGGAAGCCCTCAGAGCTGCGCTCTGTCACTACCCGATCCATCAATTGTCCAAGCGCTTTTTGCTTGTTTGTTTTTTCAAGAGGATTTACTGCTCCTTGCGGAAGACCACAGACGAAGGACGAGGTTAAGAACGGGGGAAGTACTGCCGCCTACAGGTCTGGCATGTCCTTAACAACGTATTTATCCGGGTACGTGTGGACAGAGTCTGTTTTTAAAACGCGGTGGTGTGGATGCAAGTTTTTGGAGGGGTGGATATTCGTTTTTAAAAAACCCCGGCTACGTGTGGACTAGGCCTTAATCAGCATTAATTTACCCTGATTTGTTGGAGTGTCAGAGTCCAGGTCTGTCATGGCATCCATGGAGCCAAACAGGTTCCTGCCCATCATGGGGGAGAACAAACTCTGGAAGTTGTGGAAGGGATCGTGGAAAAGCGTGTGGATGCTCCTGCTGCGGCGCATGACCGGAGCCAGGAATCTCGGGAAAAAGAACATGGGAGGGTGGACATGATCAGCCACCTGGGAAACAAACGCAAACAGCTGATTAGGTCCTTTTTTATTGTTTCTGTCAAAGCAGGATTGGATCACATGATAAAATGTCCTTTTCCTATTGGAAGGGGATTAGAATCTCCAGCAGATCCAGTACTCCTGGTGTCGTGTGCTAATCCGCGCTCGGCGATACCTTCATGCTATCTGAGAAGATGCTCTCCACTCCTTCTGACATCTCTGTGTATTTTTCTTCCACGTTCCTGAACTTTTTGCTCTGTCGCCGTCCCTCCTGCTCCAGCGTGTCGATCCGCTCCCCGTTGATCCAGATGGAGAAGGGAGATGTTCTGTTCAGCACATCCTCGAGCTGTGAATTCGGAGAGGACGTTTGGCTTTGATCAAAACCTTTTTCAGGAGTGGCAGGTTTCCCAGAGAAGTGCGTGTGTCTGACCTGGCGTCCCACCAGCCCAGATCCACTGCTGCAGGTACGGGAGTAGTACTTAATGCAGGTGTTCTTCAGGCAGGGCTTACACTCCTCCCACAGAGCCTTCATCGTCTCGTTACAGACCTCCTCCTCCTTCTCCAGCTTGGCCTCCATCTCCTCAGCCGCCCGTATCGCCTCCTGCATCCAAACAAAGCTCATCACATATAAATGAGTCTAGAAGAATTTTTACACATAAAATACATTTCTTCCTGTCTTCTTTACCTCCTTCTGCTGCTTTGTTTTCTCCAGAGCATCCAAAAACTTTGTGTGGTCTTCAGAAGATTTCTGCATCACATTTTTCATTTCCTTCACGCCGCCAATGGCGTTTTCAATCTGTTTGTCCAGATACCTCTCTCCCTGGACGGAGATCTCTGAAGATCAATTATGAGAAAATGAAAATGTCATGTAGAAAATATCAGTTTGAACCTGGGAATCTGTCCGTTCAAACTTTACCATTAAGATCTTCCCTCGATGGCGGGAGGATGCAGCTGGCCGAGGACAGAAGGACAAGAGCCATCACAGCCAGGGACTCCTTAGAGCCTTTCTTCTTCATCATCATCATTATTATTAGCATCCTCTCTGACTCAAAGGGAGCTGGAAATGACGAGTAAATTAAAAAAGAAAAGTTTAAAGTTGCTGTAATGACAATGAGGGTCCAGCAGGGGGAGACCTGCGGCTGCAGAGGAGACGGATGGATCTACGCTGCAGAAAAATGAGATGTTTGCTCTGCAGTTTCAAGCATTACTCAGCAAAACACCAAAATAACTGATCATTATGTTTGTCTTGAGCTCACACTGACCTCAGATCAGCCCTTCCTGTGACACTGACCGGATGTTCCCGTGAAAAGCATCATTATGAAACCAAACAGCAGGCCCTTTCTCTGTTTACCCATCCCTCTCTGAGGTCAGCTGATTCAGCAGACTGCCGCTTCAGATTGTTTTATCTCTTCAGACGCACGCAGGATAAATAAAAGACGAGGAATCTACCAGAAAGACGAACTCTCATCTGTGTGCTGATTTATCTGGGCGGTGTAATTAATGTTCTCTAACACTTCACACAATCCTTTTTTGTCTATAAGCACAGGAAACATTTAGGATTTGCATCTCATGCTGGAAACAGAAGATTTCATGTTAAATAACGAAGACTAAATGAATGAGTCATGGTTTAAATAAACAGAATAAAACTAAAACTCCCGTCTCCATGGCAACACATTGAAATTTGCTGCTGAAAGTTACAAAATAGAAACATCTCCTTAAAGAAAACTGTTTGCTTTTGCTGATTATGTCATTGTTTTGCAGAAGAAGAGTTGGTGCAGATTTTTTAGGAGAAAATAGTTATTGAATGTTTAGATCATTTGTGCTAAAATGACGCTTTACAGCAGGGGGTGCCCAATCCTGGTCCTAGGGGGCCGGTATCCAGACCCTGCTTCAACACACCTGTTTTCAATCAGCAGGTGATTAGTAGGCTTCTGCCATTCAAAGTGGCTCACTAAATTATAATGTCTAATACAAATTACAGTAAAAGAATAAGACAAACATTCAATCCTAAATCTGCAGGGATTTGGTTTATTCCTTGGAAAGGTCTCTGCTGTTGCAAAATGGTGACATTTGAATTTGTGCACGGCGCCTTACAGGTAACTAAACTATTGCAGGAGTTGGCAGATGGATGAAGGATCAGAGGATTCGTTACCAAAAAAACAGCGCTTTATCCTCCACTCAACTCCTAACTAATAAATCACCACGACAACTCGTCTTCACAATAAAAATATGTACTTCCATTTTCTTTGGTAGTAGAATATACTCTTCTCGTGTGGAATTAACACATCAACCAAGCACCAAACTATGCAGCTGACAGAAATTTTGATATATGAAACTTCTAGAAAATATAAACATCCAAACCATGGATATTTTGTGAAACTGAAGAATCCAACAGATCTGATGGTTTTGCTCTACGTTAATAAAAACTAACAGTTTTAGGTCTGGATTTATTGGCCTTCAGTGATTTAGTCTGCTGAAGTTTCTCACGATTATTATCTCAAGGTTCTTTTATTGTTTAGTCTGGACCGAATCAAAACAAACAAAGCTGGTTTAGATGTAAACGACTTTATTTTTTCATCTTTGAATCACATTTTATGGTTTATTATTGTCCACCGTCACCTTCACGCCCACCATCACCACCTGTTTCCATGGTAACAAGAAAAACACAGAAGCAGCAGCTTCTTCATTCCAAACCACCACATTTATGTAATCACCAGATCGATGTTGAATGATTTTCAGGTCAAGTTGAGTTAATATTTTGTTTGAACAACTTTCATTTTTAAGGTTATTCAATTTAACTGCAGGTTTAAAACCCACTGCGGAAGAACAGACATCATAAAACACAAAGAGCTCATGATTTATTTGATGATAAATCTCTGGTAAAGCATTTTTCATTTTGTCCTAAACATTTAGATTTTAAATATCAGTTGTGGAAACAGCAATGTGAAAATATGGCAAACTGTAGTGGGTGGAAAGAACAAAACGTGCGTCAGAGGAGAGAAAACAGCAGAGAAAGTCAGACAATAGGTAAGAGTCGGACGGCGTTGTTTGCAGAGCCACAGCTGCAGGGATTCTGGTTACACAACTGAAATACCAACACTCCTCCAGATGTTGCAGCACCCTCCACCCACTGCACTACAGATGGACTTCTTAATAGTTTGTAAAGACAAGATTGCAAAGATTGTTTTTCTTTTCCATAATAACCAGTTATCGTTATTATTATTATTACTACTACTACTATTATTAATAATAAACTTTCATCCTAAAGAAAATTTATGCCTGCAGAACATCTCCTTCGTAATTTAAGAGACTCCTAAGCCTATTTTAATGTTTTCACATCCTGCATGAAGCAATTAAACATAATATATTGTTTTTGCTGTATTTTAATATTTAGGATGAATGTTTTTGATGTTTGCATTTAAAATCAAAACACCTTCATCCTACGGAGATATAAGGTTATAATTAAGGTTCATGTAAGGTGAGAACGACTAATCTTTTCTGCAAATAGGACGCTTACACGTGTGGCCCCATTTCCACCTTATTTTAAGTGTTTGGGGATTTGTGCACCCAGAAGGTACTTTTTTTAAACAGCCATGCAGAAAATCAAGGTCATCTTTAAATGAACACAAATAAATCATGTATAAAAACTTTGTTCTGTCAGCGGGATCATAAATTAACAGCATACATTGATGCTGTTTACAATGTCTGTTAGATAATAAAAAAAACTGACAAATTTATTGTTTTGGTTGAATTTTCTTTTCTTATTTTGCAGTGTTTATGCTGATGTCTGTAAGGTAAACCAACCAAAGAGTGACGTCATCTAAACTAATCCAGTTGCTTTTAATCAGGTCACACCCGTGGGTAAGCAAAACAAACACCAGTCATGCATGTTTGCACCATAAATCAACAGCAGAGACCTAAATAATAGAGTTTTAAAGATTCTACTTACAAAATTTTATTCTTATTACAATTATCATTTGACAATAAAACAGTATCTGAAGCGGTTTGAACTCGAAAAAGCATCATTTATCTTAATGCGCATCCCTTTGGTGCAAAAGATTAAAAAAGAAAGTTCCTGAGACTCACCTCTGAATTTCCTGGATCTGAAGCCACACCAGTGCCGCTGCTGCCGGTTTTTATGTTCAGCAGGAGGCTAACGGGAACGGTGCAGGGAGGCTGCAGCATCAACAGCGTCCCAGCGACGTAACAACACACCAACTTCCTGCCTGACCCTTCAGAATAAAACTAACAGGAACGTTTAGTTGAGTTGAACACAAACAAAACGAAAGACATATTTAGTGTTTGAAATTCATGGCAAACATATTACACGAGGATTTATTGAAATAGAATGACATTTAAAGGTAATGCTACAGTTAGCTGGTTGTTAGCTCATAAGCACGCTGCTCCTAAAATGTTTTAATGAGAGAAGATGCACAAAAATATGTATTTGTCTCAGTGAGATTTAATATATTGTTTGATTTTATTATATTTAGAAAAATGGAAACGATAACAGATCATTTTGTCTACAATACATCCTTCTTGCTAAAATAAGCTATGTTACTAGGTTACTTTTTAATCCCACATTACTGTTAAATCTTTTATTTCTTCCATAATTTTCACATTTGTGTCACTGAATAAGAGCGGACTTCAAACAGAACAAGGTTTAAGCTCCAGTGAGATTATGTTACTTGTTCAAATTTACCTTCTTTTACACAAATGTGGAGTAAAAAAACAAACATTTATTTTGAAATGCAACCATGTTTTCGGTGACTGCAGCGTTTATTTCCGGTGACTTGATGGCCGTGACGCATGACGACCTTTCCAGAAGTTTTCAGATTTATCGGCAGAGCTGAACGCTGCTGAGCAGGGAGACAAACATCTGATTCACAGACTGTGACTCATCTAAAATGTCTGATGTTTCCAACCACAACACAACCACCACTTTGAAACCAGGATGAGCAACATGGAGCTTTGTAATGCAACAACAAGCAGCATTCTTTACACTGATGACACATTAAATGATTGTTTAATATTTGGTAAGATGCTTTCGTGAAAATAACATTTTCCTCCATTGCTCAACTCTGCTCAGAGCAGAAACTATAACTTGCAGGTCACCAGACAAACACAAAGAAGCAAACAAGGTAAACAATCCTTTAGACTCATTAGTTCAAAATCCCCAATTAACACGACCTACATAGTTTTTGGCAGGAAGTTGCAGGAAAACATGAAAAATGCAGTTCAACCCAACACACCACAGTGTTGCCTTGTAATTGTATTTATCCAAGCTAAATATTTCTGAAACTACCTTGAATGAATTCTGCATAAAAAACTAAATTTATACCTAAAGTGTTGTTTTTTAGTTGGTGAACTAAACAATAATTCATATTAATTACATTAAAATTTATCTTTCAAACTAATCTGAAAGCAAACATGAACAAAAACTCACTGGCCACTTTATTGAGAACACTTAAATTACTAATCAGCCAATCACATGGTGGCAACTCAACGCATTTGAGCATACTGACATGGTCACGACGATCCGCTGCAGTTCAAACAGAGCTTCAGAACGGGGAAGAAAGGTGATTTAAGTGACTTTGAACGTAGCGTAGTTGCTGGTGCCAAACGGGTTGGTCTGAGTATTTCAGAAACTGCTGATCTTCTGGGATAGTCACACACAACCGTCTAGAGAATGGTCCAAAAGAGGAAAAACATCCAGTGAGCGGCAGTTCTGTGGATGAAAATGCCTTGTTGATGCCAGAGGTCAGAGGAGAATGGCCAGACTGGTTCGAGCTGATAGAAAGGCAACAGTAACCCAAATAACCCTTCGTTACAACCAAGATATGCAGAAGAGCGTCTCTGAACGCACAGCAGGTCGAGGCAGATGGGCTACAGCAGCAGAAGACCACACCGGGTGCCACTCCTGTCAGCTGACAGGAAACTGAGGCTGCAATTCACACAGGCTCACCAAAACTGGACAATAGAAGTTTGGAAAAATGTTGCCTGGTCTGATGAGTCTGGATTTCTGCTGCAACATTCAGATGGTAGGGTCAGAATTTGGCATCAGCAACATGACAACATGGATCCATCCTTGATTCATGCTGCTGGTGGTGGTGATGTAATGGTGTGGGAGACATTTTCTTGGCACACTTTGGGCCCCTTAGTACTAATTGATCATCGTGGCAACAGCACAGCCTACCTGAGTATTGCTGCTGACCATGTCCATCCCTTTATGACCACAGGGTACCCATCTTCTGATGGCTACTTCCAGCAGGATAATGCACCATGTCATAAAGCTTGAATCTTCTCAGACTGGTTTCTTGAACATGACAATGAGTTCACTGTACTCAGATGGCCTCCACAGTTGGCAGATCTCAATCCAATGGAGCACCTTTGGGATGTAGAGGAACGGGAGATTTGCATCATGGATGTGCAGCTACTGCGTGATGCCATTATGTCAATATGGACCAATACCTCTGAGGAATGTTTCCAGTACCTTATTGAATCTTTGCCACAAAAGACTGAGGTAGTTCTGTAGTATGAAGTGTATAAAGTGACTGTAATGTACTGATAAAATAAACCTTATGATGTCATCAAAACCACTCCAAAGTGTTATGTGCATATCAGCACATTGCTGTGTGACAACATCCAACTAAGTAGATTTTAAAAACAAAGCTGCCAAAATGTGTTTTATTTAAACATTTCTTGTTCTATATGAACTTATCTGCTGCAAAAACAAACAAAACAATCTGTGTGTTTTTACGTGCAGATCCATCCACCCACCGCAGTGTAACCAGGCTATTAAACACGGGAAAGAGATCAAAGGTCAGTGATGTCAAATACAGTGTTGGGCAAGTTACTTCAAAACTGTAATGCATTATTTATTACGTGTTACCCTCATTTAAAGTAATTCATTACATTACAATATTACTGATTTTAAAATATAAGGCATTACACTACTTTTGCATTACTCTAAGTTACTTTCACCAATACAACTTCAATATGAATCTGGTCATGTGACGCTCAGTGAGCTCATGACATATTTGGAAGGTGATGTGGTATCTGAGCTAGGATTGCTGTTAAAAACAGTCAGATATAATAACAGTGCTTTAAAATGATTGTTTACTAAATAAAAGCAACAACAATCTGTACTCTCAGCACGCTGCCATCTTATATTAACTGAGCAGGGAGTGAGGTGGAGGGGGCTCCCAGGATTTGGCTTATGGTACTTATTAGCTGTAAACTGCCTTAGTTTAGACCCTGCCCTATGTGGACCAAAACCCCTTTCACCCCCATCGGACTTACTCTGTGCTTGGTCTCTGGGTCCATTTTCTCTGTCCCTCTCCCTCTGGAACCGTGTAGAACCTTGTCCAAGGATTGTCCGACCGGATCCTTTCCTTGCAGCCAGAAAAACCTCCGCCAGTTCCGCTGCTCTTACCGCTGTCTTGGGGTCTCGCTCACGGATCCATACTTCTAGGTCTGGATGAACCATTCTCAGGAACTGCTCCAAAATCAGCTTCTCTGAGATCTGTTGTTTTGAAGATTCGTCAGGTTTTACCCACTTTGAGAACAGATCCTTCAGCCTCACATACAGCTCTTTAGGAGTTTCGTCTGGAACCATCTGTGTAGACCGAAATCTTTGACGGTAGGTTTCTGAAGTGATTTCATATTTTTCTAGGATAGCTGTTTTTACTTTATCATAATCTTCAGTGTCAGAAATGTCCATGAGCACATATGCACTTCGGGCCTTACCAGTCAGCAGAGCTACCAGACGGAGAGCCCATTCCCCTCTTGGCCACCTACAGACTTGAGCCATCCTTTCGAAAGTATAGTCAGAAAATGTTCAATATCATCCCCTGGTGATAATGGCAACAACTTTGGCTCTCTGTGGAAGATTGACTCTCTGTGATGTCTGTCCTGGTCAGCATAACTGGTTCTTTCCTCATTCTCTTGCTGGTCAGCAGGGGGGACAGAAACTTCTTCTTGATCAGGAGGTCGTTGGATAACTTGATGCACCAAAGACTGGATTTCTCTGAATTGGTGCTGCATGTCCTTCCATCTCCAGTCTTGTCTTGCTGCTTCCTTTTCCAGATGCTGCTCTGTGGTTGTTTGAGACTTTGCAAGAACCCTCACCAGCTCTGCCAATTCCTCCAACTTCTCCTCAGTGATGCCCCTTCTTGCAGCTCTCTGATCAGCAGATGCACTTGAGTCCACCTCAGGCTCTTCATATTGCACTGGCTGCGCTTTCCTTGTTTGCATCTTTGTGGTCATCCTCAGCACTTCACGCAGGCAAAACTTCTGACACCAATTGTGGCGCCGAGGCACTTGTCAGAATGACCCTCATGCGCTCAGGAGGAAAAGTAATAGTGATGTTACCTGTGACACACACAAGGGCGTCATTTTGTTTTCAGAATTGCTGGGGACAATAACCATACACTTGAGTGGGGTTTAAAAATTGCTGGGGACAATAAAGTAGGCTAGCACAGGGGTCGGCGGCTCTGGAACCGCATGCGGCTCTTCCATTCTTCTGATGCGGCTCTCTGTGCTTGTGAAATAATGAATGGATATTTAAATAAAAAGCTTTATATTTTACTGCATTAATTTTACATCTGTAAGCTAATTCTAAATGTAAAGATTGTCTGCGTAAACCTGAACAGTTCCAACCCGGTCTTACTGTGAGACCGGGTTGACGCGTCACGCTTGTGCGTAATCATATCGGCGCTTCTGAGCTGCTTTCTGACCTTCCCCACCTACAAAGTTTAATTACACCAATCAAACGTGACAGAGCCTGGATTTGTATTCTGAACAGTCTAAACATGTTTTAAAAAGAAACATAGGACAAAAGTGGCACCTGCTCAGTAAAACCATCAACAGGGTGAAAAATACCAAAAATTGAAGGCAGAGACGGGCTACAACTTCTGGATCCATTTTATATAAATTGTTTTATTGATTATCGTCTAATGAAAGATAATTAAGACGTACATGAGCGATCAGGCGCGTTGCAAGCTTTTCAAAAGTGTGGGGGATGTTGTCTGTGCCTAAAATAATTTCATGTTATTCATCTTGTTAGTTTAATTTCCGTAATAGCGGAGCAGGTGCGAATTTTAGACGCGTCACGCACGTCTCCGTTTCAAACATGTTTAAACTGTTCAGAATACAAATCTAGGCTCTGTCTCGTTAGATTGGTGTAACTAAAGTTTGTACTGAATGAAACTTTACATTAAACCATGTTGAAAAGTAAA